TGCCAGCTCCAGGGGTTCAGCTGCCATGCCAAGCAAATGAGCCGCAGCTCAGTGGAGATACCCCTGTGAGGTTGGATAAGAGGCATTTAGCAGGAGTACATTCAGCTGAGGTAGCTGATAGGTTTCCAAACGCCAGGCTGAAGGGAAAAGCTGGAAGCGAGGCAGGGCTGGGTGCAGGGCAGGGTGTTTGAATAGCAAATAAAGGGCTGGCCGGCGGTCAGGGCTTCGGCTGGGCTGGCTGCTGCAAAGAGCCTGTGTAAAAGCACCGTGCCGTTGCTAATTGGAACTGGCAGCAGCGTGAACTCGAGTCGGTCGGAGTCTCCGTGGGGCTGCGTCGCTCCATTCCCCAGAGCAGCCCTGGGAAGATTTCAACAGGGTGTATCCTTGGAGCAGTTTCTGCAGCTGGCATTTCTCTTCCCTGAAACAGTTGGTGTGTTCCTGGTAGCCAGTTTGAGAATTTCCTGAAAGAAAAGCACGTAGCCAGCCCTCCCCCAGATGAAGTTTGGGAGCGTTAATGTCTTAAACCGTCACAACCCAGAGAGAGAACTGCGTATCGGTTCTCAAAACCAGATCCGAGCGATTACCCCACATCGCTCACCCGTGCTGATCCAGTGGCCCGGAGATGCCTCTGGATCTGATAGTGCTTTAGATGACATCTCTGCTGATCACAGCCCCGGGTGCCCGTGAACCACTTAGTGCTTGTACGAATCTGCCAGATTAGCACACGGTGGCTCTGAATTAATTTCTGGAGAGCCAGGCTGGGCTGCTGCCCTGGTGACACGGACCTGCTCTGGCTCCACAGAGCGTGTTGGGTGTCTGGTTTGGTCTGGTAACATAAACCGCAGTTTGGTTTGTGTGTGTATACACACATATATATAAAAAATTTATTTATTTATTTATTCCCCTCTGTAGGATCTGCATTGCAGATGGCTTGTGCTACGCAAAAAACGAAAGCTTTCCTTGCGGGGGGATAATTCCAGAAGCCAAACCTTACATTTCATAACACACTCCCGATCCAGTAATTATTTCTGAGGCTGTGTTTGTGTGTGCATCTTCAGCGGTCTCCCTTCCAGACTGGTGCTGGAAATATGGCAATGTTTGCAACAGGCCACTGCTGACATCTAGGCACGCTTTCTCAGTGGGGGTGTCCAGGTCTAATTTAATATTCAAGGTGTTTGCTGTTTAAAAGGAAAGTCTGCACTGAAGCTTAGCAGATGGAAGGAGAGCTTGTGTGCACGTTTGACTAAACTCGGTGAGTATCTGGCACTGGTATGAGCACTTCCTACGTTCTCATCAGATCTGCTGATCTCTCTATTCACGCGGCATTGCTGCAGTGAAGACTTTCCCGCTGATCCTGCCTATTCCTAACCCCGGCTAAACCGCCACCGATTAGGGAGACAGCTCATTTGATGGCTGAAGGTAGGACAGATGCCTCTTTTGTGTATAGCCGTCGTTCAGGGAACGGGGGCTGCCGTGAATGAGAAATCAAGATTGATTCATGAGCAAGAATGAAATCAAAATTGCTCTGATTGTGTCTTCTGTATTTTTTTGCATCACATCTTGCTCAGCTCTGGCGCATATTTATATATATATGTGTATGTACTATATGCGCTTGTTAGGATAAGGAGTTTATGAAGATGAGTGTTAATTCTGCCCCTGAAAGAAGTGAGGACCTAAATGTAATTTTAAAAAAATATATGTCTCCTTGGGGGGGGGAATAATCCACCCACTGTTCTTTATGGATCAGAGTTCTCATCCCTGTAGTGCAGAGGGATGCTCGTAGCACTGTTGCCGTGTTTGATAGGTTTGAAGTCCATGCGCCCATCGTCTGTGACCCCTTCTGCTAGGGAAACAGCCAAGAAACAGCCAAGGCTTTCTTGAAAGTGCTGAACTTGTTTTTTCTCTTGAAAGAGCGGTGCTTAA